CAATGTTCTTAAACTTTAAAATAAATAAAGAATATAGAAAAATGGCATAAAAATTAATGAATACAGAAATGAAGATCCCCATCCGGACCCTTATACTTAATAAGTCATAATTTAACTTTGATGGAATTCCTAATTCTAATGTTTTAAAAATATAATTATATTCTGTATATATGAAAACAATTTTTTTAAACACACACACGTGTTCAGTAATATTAATTGACGTCAAAATGTACACTGTACGAGTTCATGTTATTTTTATCATAAAACAAAAGGTATACAAGTTTCGATTTGCCAGAACTTACCTGTTTTCCAAATTTTCCTAATATAGAGAATTTTTACAATATTGTAAAAGCGCATTCTTCAGACATTTGATAAACCTTGCAGATCATTTGTATTCATTCTCTGAAAAGTTATAGTTTGAATGAAAACTTTGACATACATTTTACGCACCTCTACGCAAGGTAACAAACGTGTGTGTCTTAACAGAAAATAGCATTGTTCCATCTTATCAAGTTGTCATCTTTCCAATTTAATTTAAATGAAAGCCGCGAGTAATGACCGATCTGCCTATTTTTGCATATTAAAAGTCAATTTGATCATTTCAAGGCCGTGGTCGTCTATCTCACAATATCTTGTGAGGCACTATATATAGTAAAAACTTTTTTTTTACAATAACAATTATACTCGCACAATCGAACCATGAACTTATTTTTCCATTTTTCATGTGCACACAATATATATATCTTTATTCAATATACAGTGGTTTTCTACAGAAACTAGCGAATGTTATTCAAATTGTAGTGTATTTGTCCAATATTTAGGAGTTTGTTCAGCCTATCGTGATGGTACTGGCACATGAATGGATACTAGACATAAGGGTCACAGATGGCTACGACCAGCCTCTACTTAGGGTCCTCTCTTACACCGAAACAAACAAGAAGACAAAGCGCCATAGATTTGGGACCAAGTGAGTGATGCAGGAATAGACACCTAGTATGAAGGTAAAGGATTATTTACACCAAGCCAAGTTAGAATAATAACCCTTGAGGGTAAACGTAGGTCTCGACAAAAGAGATCAAGTAACACTTTACTGGTAGAGCGGAATCAGTTTGGTCCTGCAGGGGTTTGGAAGCCATATAGGCGTCATTCTTCAATTCAAGAGTGTCTACAATCAGCCCTGAATTTGGAAGTAGGGAGTCATACAGAGGCCATATGCTTAACTTTATTGGTGCAGTTGAGAGAAATACACTGTTTTGAATACTGTTTCGGCTTGACAAAAACTTTTTGAAAAGTTTGTAAAATTGACAGAGAGGTCATGCGAGATTTTGACGCCATCATGCATTTAATACTTACGGTTGTAAACAAACACGCGAGTTGTAGTGTGCATATTGTATCGTTGTTTACTATAATTAAGTGTGACTTTTTTTGTTATTGAATAAAGGTTTATTACAGCTTTAATAACATTGATATAGTAAATATTGCATTCTAATTAACACCTGCCCAAAGGTAATCCTTAAGTGCGTACCTGGCATAGTAGATGCCATATCATCAATTATCATGGACATGAGGGATAAATGTATCCACATTGATCGGGACAATTGCTAAAACTGTCAGTATTGCCTCGACATGACAACATTCCGTCCTATATTCTGTTCTAGAAATTATTACACCGGATGATGAAATTTCATATTCCAATATTTTGTTCGTATCATTACGATGAAGCCATGGGATCACAAAAGGTCTTTAAAACAGAGAGTAAAACGGAGAGTTGAGAAATCCTTGTAAGCAAAGCGTGGAAACATGATCACAAACAATGTAACAAAGATATGTTCAGCAGTAGAAAACAAACACCATTATAAATTATATTGTAATAGAGATTACGTAACAGATTGTGAATCTTCTGAGTGTAATGAAGAATGTTCAAAGTTCGATATTAGTGTTTCTGGAATTCAATTGATCCTACTTCAGCTGGATACCAGTTGTCTCTCTTTGGACAAAAGAATTGCGATATAGAATTCTACAATAAAATAGGTTTTCCGATTAGTTTATTGAAGATAATAACGTTTTATATTTGGTTTTTTTTTTCTAAATATTTCTTCACTTATTGGATTTTGTGATTACCGTATGCAAGTTAAAATGGCTTCTATGGATGTCTAGGAAAAAGCATGAAAATCAAAGGCGTGCATTCAGAAAAGTTTATAACATTGAGAATAAAACTACACATGGGTCAAATTATTTAACAAAAAGTTGCACTGTACATATCAAATGATCACTAATGCCGCCTAAACCTGACAATGAACAATACCATACGTTTATGTGCATGGACTGTTTCTACTGAAATTATATATTGACAACTTGTTTTTTAAATGTTTAGTTAGTGTATATCTTCACACGCATGTCCTCCGGATGCCAAAAGAAAAACGAGAACATCAATGCCAATGAGCTTCTGGAAATCAATCGATTTGTGTTTTTTGAATATTTTTTTGGGTGTTATCTTTTTGTCTAATTGACACGATCCTACATCTGAATCTTGTCATCTTTTTCCTAATAAAGTTTTTTCATTCGCCTATCGCTCCCGCTTATTTTTAGGATAATTTGGAATGGTGTTACAATTCCACCGTATATCTTTAAGAACAATATCGAAGAAAATGAAAAACTTTCATTGCTCATAGAATTCATAAAAATTCGGGCAAATTAAATTTTACTAATTAGATTGGTACAATCGATTTTTCCGATGCACAATTCCAAAAAAGCTATGCTAAACTAAAAGAAATACAAAATTTAGGGTTTTAAAAAACTATTTTAAACGACAAAATTAAACTAATTTTCTATTGTAATAATACATTTTTTCCGTTATTCATCGCTGGTCTTCCATTTTACAAATATAAATATATATTTTTAAAGTTGTTGTTTTTGCAAAACATCCAGCATTTTTTAATGTTTCATGGCATATATTCGAAAGCTAGTTCAGTATATTTGTGTACGCTTACAATGTAATAAAATATACCTTTAGTGACAGATTACCTTTATTAAAAAAACTAAAATATTGTACATGTTATATTGAAATTAGAAAAAAAAATAATACTATACAGGAAAAAACATAAAATAAAACCACAACAGTCTTTGTTCCATTAAAGGGAATAAAGGTTATTTGTTATAATGTTTTTGTAGAATCTACTTTATTTAGACATGACCTATTATTATTCTGTAATAGATCCAGTTATCAATTATTATTCATCTGATCTTGTTATATTGTTACAGGAAGTGTCATGTTTTTGTCTGTGACTATTTCTGAAATTAATTCTAACATAACTTTTGATTTTTTAACCCTGTATACCAACATTCCCCATGTGAAATTATAAAATTGTTTTGAATAAACATTGAATGACAAACTTTTTTCTTATGTGACGTTTACATTTTCTGACGTCAGACACGCGAAGCAATGAATGTGGTTTTTAATTTGATAGATGCTTTTGTGCTTTTTTTGTAAATAATTGTTTGTTTTGATATTGTAACACAGTGATGACTGCTGTACCCATATTTTGACTATTTTATTTATAATGTCTGTTTTGTTCACGCATCGTTGTAAATATAACGGAATTTGATAAGACTGTCGTACAAGTGAGAGGTTTAGCGCTATAAAACCAGGTTCAATCCACCATTTTCTACATTTGAAAATGCCTGTACCAAGTCAGGAATATGACAGTTGTTGTCCATTCGTTTGATGTGTTTTGTCATCTGATTTTGCCATGTGATTAGGGACTTTCCGATTGAATTTTCCTCGGAGTTCAGTATTTTTGTGATTTTACTTTTTATGTTACTTTGCATTATCTTTGAATCTGAATCTGAATCTGATGATGTATGTATAGCTGATATAGCAGGAGTTGCTTTTCTTACCGACGCATTTCATCTCATTTCATGTGAATAAGAATTCATACTATTCAAACGGTTAGTTTTCTCGTAATGATCTGTTTATGCCACGACTATCTATAAATTATATTAAACCCACCGGAATGTAAGTGTAGCTGGCCCACGTCTGGAACCGTGACCGTATAGGGAACTTATATTTTTATAGGGGCATAGTACTTTTCCTCGGAACAAACAATTTATTTCGACTTTAAAAAGGCCAAAAAGGATATGCAATACCATACAGAAACAAGAAATAAGTTTGGAATGAGTTCCATATGGTACCCCCACCATACTTAATGAAAACAGTAGCCTATTACAGTTTCTTCTGTGAGGATGCCATATGGAACTCTTTCCATGATTTTGAAAGCTCAATGTTGAATTTATGTTTTGATGGAAACAAACTATTTTTTTCACTTCCCTTCTGAAACAAACTATATTTTTCAACAAGATAAAATTAAAGAGTTTATTTTGAATAAAACCAATCAACCCAAAAAATAAATTGTCGGTGTCTAGCTGTTTGTCTCCATTATTTTTGGAAATATCATTTAAATTGATCTACAGCTTTGCAGACTCGGGGAGATTTTTAGAACTTGATTAACGGTTTACCTCTAAATTCCGATAAACATTTTTTATCAACAAAATTTAAAAAAAAAAAAGAAAAAAGTGTAAATCTGATACTGTGTGTACAACTGCAACATGATAAAATATTTTGATCAATTTTAAACATCAATATATCTTAAAATAAAAAATTGATTAAATACACATCTCAGGGACGTTTTATTTCGTAATAAACGGTCAGAGTTAGAAATAAGAAATTCCACTTAAAATAGAAGTTAACAAAAACGTATACATTAATAATGTACTCCATAAGTTGTCTGTAAATAAATGACCTAATGAATGAAATAACTATCTATTATAGTAACTTTTGGTCTTTTGGTTATTATTGCTGTCTCATTGATATTTATCTACATTTCATTTTGGTAACACAAAAGGATTTAAATACCTTCGGAAATTTTATATCTATAATCGACAAGGGAATTTCCAATCACTATGATTTAAAATAATTAATGGGAATCACATTATAAGAAACTATAAGATGAATGAAAACATGGTAAATACTTGTAGATTTTTACAGTCATAATGTGAACACAATATTCTCAAAATGACAGAAACTGAAGCAGAAGAAACAAAATTAACAAGAGATGAAACCAGTGAAGCATCCCCTCTGTCTGGTCAAATGGAAAACACGGAAGAAACTTTAATAGGTCAAATTCAAAAGAGAATTGCTGATTAAAAACATTTCAAAGAAGATAACCCAGGCTGCTTTCGTATTGTTGTATCTTTATCTATATTACTTATAATATCTGTCTGCTTAAACATTCACTTCAGCTATAAACAGGTAAGACAAATTTGTGATAATTCATTTTCTTAAAAGTAGAAACATTCTTTTCTAAAGTCGTTCGACAATTTATTGTTTTAATTTAAAAAAAGCCATACAAAAATTAATTTACAGTCAATGAATGATATTAATTGTAACAAGGCATTGTAATACACTTTTCCCCAATAGTTTTGAATCAAAGACCCAAGAAAATATATTCGATATAAACTTTGTCTTCCATTCAACTGCAGTATATCTTAAACACTTTTACAGAAACAAAGTTGCATTTATGATGAAAGCTGTCAAAATATAACTAGCCCACAAATGTTCAATGAACACGATGGTAACAACTGTTCAAGAAAATCAACAAACAATGTTATTACAAACATCGGTAAGTTAGGAATGTATAGCATGACACACTAAAAAGAAGTTAATATGCATAAAGATACAGACGTTTCATAATATCAAGGAGCAAATCATGTGGTTCCAAATGTGTGAAATATGTATAAGACCATCAACGGGACTAATATAGATCACACAAAATAAAAATATCCTAGATTATGACTTAAAAGGAAATGTGAGTTAAACGTCAATGAGACAATGACAAAACTAACTAAACGACATATAGTAGACATTTTTTTCCTACAAGGAACCGAGATCATTGATTTATTATTTATTAAAAATATTTAATTTATTAACCAAAACAATAAATAAGTACGTATTTTAAATGTAATTATTTTAAGTTATTAAATCGGAAGTGAAAATAGCACAATTGCAAAATTGTTCTGCATACATTTAATTTTATTCAAAGAGGTTCAATCTAACTAAAATTCTTACAAAATAATAAAACACGAAAATATGATGACAACAACACAGATACTGCATAAGTACTATTTTCTACTTGCTGTAATAAAATCCACGGACGAATTGTAGAGTATTAATTCTTTTTTTTTATTTCTTATTATTTCATACAGGAAGGATTTTGAATCTGGAATTGTGGAAAGATGGGTTAAAAATAGAATTGCGACTTCCAACTAGTTTTATTTTACATAAAATGTCATACGATGATGAGAGAGAAATTGTGTTGTGTAGAAAGGACAGAAATCATTTTTACATTTATTGTAACAAAACTTATTACGATAACTGCACTGTCAATCATAAAAGTGGAGAAAATACGACCATTCAGGAAGCAGATGGTCGAATGTTGACTTATGACATATCTACTAAGTGCATTGATTAAAGAGCTGTACTTGAATGGATTCAACCACAAAAGTACAAGTCAACAAAACCCAAAATTTAAATTTGCAATTGATTGATTTTAACATAAAGTATTTAACATCTTGAAAAATTGTGTGTTTCATATCGTTTGACAAATCAAGAATATTCAACTGCTCTTTATTTTGCTAGTGAACAGTGAACAGTGAACCGATGATAGAACAATGCATATGTAATAATAAAAATACCTTTATTGTGTTAAGATCCATGTTATGAGGGCATATTTGCCTTTTCTTTATTTGTACATGTTGTAATGTTATAACATTTGATAAAAAAAAGACAATGGTTACCAACCAAAAGAATTATTTAACTCAACAATTTTTTCACTGTATATACTTATACTATCTTGTATATAAATTGCCTTGCAATGTTTTTCAATGTTAATTATTTTTGTTAGACGTACTGATGTTTGTAAGTGCAGTTAGCTGTGATGCCTATTTTTTTATTATCATTGTTTTTATCTTTCATGTTTATTGTTTATTGTTATAGGTGGCAAATGCCTACCAGCTAGTCTTCATTTTACAAAGTGTACATAATAACAATCAAATTTCATTCAGGATTCCCTCCCCCAACAAAACATAATAAGAAAGGCAAGTTGTAAAATGTTACTGCATATAAAACTTCAACATGAAAAAAAAATTGAGCTAAATTAAAGGTTTAACTCTTGCAAAATATATCTGTCCTCGGAATGTACATAAAATTATAAGCTTAAATATAAAATACACACTTTAAGCAGTCTATTTTTGGGTTCTAAACAACAAGAATCAGGATTTAAAAATTTAATGAAATAGAAAAAAAACGCAAATAGTATGTTCTTTACGGACTGTTTAAAAATAAGCTACGTATGCTTAAGTGTAGATATTTTAGTAGGAAAATGAGAAACGACAAGACAAAATAAATTACTGTCTTTTGTTTAAGACCTTCTTCTGCCCTTTGCATGCTTTTCTGTAATATATGTAGCTACGTTTAGGGTATAAATGACGTATACCCTATGTTTATTTTGTTTACACACAAAGTATATAACTGTAACCGGTTTTTTTTGTCGGTATCATAAATTATCGTATAAAAGTTTATTCAATATTTGACATGTATTAATTTATACCTGAAAGAAAAAAATAACAACACATAAATCACAGGGATAATTCGGCGTACAACACGTGAATATTTGGAAATTTTAGCTTTGATATGTCATAGGAAATTTTCACTTGTAAAAATAGTTAATACAACTATAACATGAACAAGAACGTAAATACTACATGTAATAGTTTTTCACAGTCAACACAATATTCTAAAATTGACAGAAACTGAAGAAAAAGAAACGAAATCGGAAGGAGACGAAAACATTCATATAGCTCTCCTGCCTGGTGGAATGGAAAAAATGACGAAACCTATTCAAAGTGGATTTGATAACTTAAAACGTTTCAAAGAAGAGAGTTCATTCTGCTTATATACTCTTGTAATCTTAACTATTTTCCTGATAATATCTGTCAGCATTAACATTTACTTCATCCATAAAGAGGTACGACAAATATGTTTTATCAATTCATTTTCTTAAAAGTAGAAATATTCTTCCTCAAATCGATTCCCATTTAACGTACTAAATCCATACCAAATCAATAAATGACAATAATTAAAAACAATTCATAACACAATTCTTTTCTGAATAGTGTTTTATAAAAAATACCGGAAATATATATTGAATAGGAACTTTGTCTTCGGTTAAGGCGCACTATAGTTAAAAAAAAACTTTTACAGAAACAGAGTTGCATCGATGATGTGAGGTGTCAAAATGTCACAAGCACACATATGCACAAACACAATGGTTACAACTATTCGAGAAAACCAACAAATAATGATTTTTGTATACATTGGTATGTATAGCATAAATATAGATTCTACTATAAAACCTCGTTGATTATGATATTTATCCACTCGAAATAGTTCAGTATTCAAACTTTAAAATGCGTGGTTTACCAAGCATTCAAAAAGGTTCAAATTTAACTATCGAATGAGATAAATATTGTAATTAGCGTGGTAGTGTGATATAATCTGTATCTCTACTGATCTAACGGGAAAAACCGAGTCAACTCAACTACTCGTGACTATTATACGCTTCCATAGAATGGATATGGTTGGAAAATTTACGAAACAAAATATATGCAATCAACTAGTTTTTTATCAAGTTTATTAATCTGGTCGGAACCGGTTTAAGTTTAAACAGAATTCGAGAAAAAGTATTACAATGAAAATGTTAATATATATGTCTCTCGAGACCGAATGTTTTGAAGACGACAGGCATACGACATGCATACGACAATTGTATAATGCATGATGTATACGACAATCATATAAGTTCCTTATATTGATAAAAAAAAACCAAAAAAAACACCAAAGGTCATTTGTTCCTGAGGAGAAATTAAATCTTTGTTCCACTTGTTTTTTGTAATCATATTTTGTCTTTATAATACTCAGTTTATCAACTAAAACAATAATAGGGTATTTTGTAACAGTCTTTTAAATCACAGCATTTAAATCTTAAATCGAAAGTGAAACTAGCACGATACAAACCCATGACTGTAGCAAATTAAGTTCACAAATTTTAAAAAGTAATAAAACATGTATATTATATGAACAACACAGTTACTGAATAAGTATTATTATCTACTTTCTCGTGGTGAAATCCTGTAATCAAATCCAATGACGAATAAAAAGTACTTTTCTATGGTTTTAATTGATCTTCATATGTCTAATAATTTGTGGCTTTCAATTCCAGTTGAACTAATGACATTTTACTCAGAGAAATATGAGCATTCAAGTCATTCACAGATACATGACTATACACGGTCGTTGCTTTTTTCTTACCTTGATTTGTATCTTCTCATCTGAATATCTGTAAACTACCTGTTGCCTCTAACTCATGTATATACGTGTAGGATAATTTATAAATGTAAAACAAGCGTTCATTTGTTGAAGAAAAGATTTTAAAACTCGACTTATGGGAAGATAAGTTAAAATTAGTAGTGCGAATTCCAACACATTATATTTTACACAAGATTTCATACGACGAGGAGAGAGAAATTGTGTTGTGTAGAAAGGACAGAAATCATTACTACATTTCTTGTTTTAAACACTATATTGATAGCAGCACTATCATTCATGGAAGTCGAGAAAATACAACCATTCAGGAAGCAGGTGGTCGAATGTTGTCTTATGATATCTCTAAATGCATTGATAGAAGAGCTGGACTTGAATGGATTCAATCACAAAAGTACAGGTCACCAAAACCCAAAATGTAAATTTTCAATAGTTTGATTTCAACATAGAGTATCTAAATTACTTGAAAAATTACTATCGTTTTACCAGAAAACAATTAAGGAAAAGCAATTGCTTTTTATTTTGCTGGTTTCCAGAGTCACAATGTCACAGAGAAAAATTCATATCCAATAATAATAATAATAACTTGATGCCACAAAGAGCCTGTGTCGCTCACCTATATCTTCAACAATGGCCACTTTTGAGTAAAAACATAATCCATCATTAAAGGGGAATAACTCTATTTAGAGTTGGCTGACATTTTCAGTCATGTTGACGTATTTGTAGATCTTATCCTGCTGATCATTTTTCTTTTTTTAAACTTTCTTTTTATCTATTAAAGTTTTCAAGATAGTGGGCAAAGAATGCAAAAAAAAAAAAATACTGGAAAAATTATAATTAAAGGGCAATAACTCTAATTACGGTAGATCTTGTCTTGCAGATCATTTTTGTTATTTAAAGTTTTTATCTAACTATTACTGTTTTCAACATAATAGGCAAAAAATGCAAAAAATGGGAAAAATCATCATTAAATAACTTCAATTAGAAGTCGACTAATGATTTCGTTCAAACTGACGTATTTGTAGATCTTGTCTTGCTGATCATTTATGTTTAAAGATTCTTTCTATTTATTATAACTTTCGAGATAATAGGCAAACATGCAAAAAAAATATTTAAATTCGTCGTTTAAGAGCAATAACTCCTATAAAATGTCGTCTGACAGTTTTGATTTCATGATTTTGTAGATCTCACAATTTTGAACATTTTTGCCTCGTCATATTTTCTCTGTCTATAGCGGTCTTCAAGATAATAAACAACAACTAGAGGCTCTCAAGAGCCTGTGTCGCTCACCTGATTCTACTTTGGTTTTGGAAATCATGTAAAAAAATAGATTAAAAGCATAACAGATACCCTAATAATGAGTGAGGCCAAATTTGGTTTAATATTGGTCCTGTAATTTGATAAAAAATCCTGGTGGCCATCTTGAACAGTAAATCGGCAACAAAGTGGCAACACTTCATCAGCACCTCATAAGAAACATTTATGCCATGTTTTAGTTTCATTCCATTCAGTGCACCTCTAGAAGAAGCATTTGTATGTATTTCCCATAGGATCTTAAGTTAAAGGAAGTCCCCCCATTGGCGGCCATCATGGATGAAGGATCAGCTTCAAAGTAACAAAAATTAGTCAGCACCTCATAAAGAACATTCATGCCATGTTTGGTTTCAATCCATTCAGTATGTGGTTCTCTAAAAGAAGACATTTGTATGTATTGTCCATAGGGTCCTTTGTTAAACATTGTCCCCATCTGGCGGCCATCGTGGATGAAGGATCAGCTTCAAAGTAACAACACTTAGTCAGCACCTCAAAAGGAACATGCATGCCTTGTTTGGTTTCATTCCATTCAATGGTTCTCTAAAAGAAAACATCTGTATGTATTTCTCATAGGGTCCTATGTTAAACTAAGTCCTCCGCTGGCGGCCATCTTAGATTATGAATCGGCTTCATAGTAACAACACTTGGTCAGCACCTCATAAAGAACATTCATGCCATGTTTGGTTTCATTCCAATCAGTGGTTCTCTAAAAGAAGACATTTGTATGTATTTCCCTTAGGGTCCTTTGTTAAACTAAGTTCCCCTGCTGGTGGCCATCTTGGATTATGGATTGACTTCATAGTAACAACACTTGGTCACCACCTCATAAGGAACATTCATGCCATGTTTGGTTTCATTCCATTCAGTGGTTCTCTAAAAGAAGACATTTGTATGTATTTCCCATAGGGTCCCATGTTAAACTAAGTCCCCCGCTGGCGGACATCTTGGATTATGGATCGTCTTCAAAGTAACAACACTCGGTCAGCACCTCATAAGGTACATTCATACCATGTTTGGTTACATTCCATTCAGTGGTTCTCTAAAAGAAGACATTTGTATGCATTTCTCATAGGGTCCTATGTTAAACTAAGTCCACGGCTGGCGGCCATCTTGGATAATGGATCAGCTTCAAAGTAACAACACTTGGTCAGCACCTCGTAAGAAACATTCATGCCATGTTTGGTTTCATTCCATTCAGTGGTTCTCTAAAAGAAGACATTTGTATGTATTTCCCATAGGGTCCAATGTTAAACTAAGTCCCCCGCTGGCGGCCATCTTGGATGATTGATCCGCTACAAAGTAACAAAACTTAGTCATCCCCTCATAAGGAACATTCATGCCATGTTTGGTTTCAATCCATTCAGTATGTTGTTCTATAAAAGAAGACATTTGTATGTATTCTCCATAGGGTCCTTTGTTAAACATTGTCCCCATCTGGCGGCCTTCGTGGATGAAGGATCAGCTTCAAAGTAACAACACTTGGTCAGCACCTCAAAAGGAACATGCATGCCATGTTTGGTTTCATTCCATTCAACGGTTCTCTAAAAGAAAACATTTGTATGTATTTCTCATAGGGTCCTATGTTAAACTAAGTCCTTCGCTGGCGGCCATCTTAGATTATTGATCGGCTTCATAGTAACAACACTTGGTCAGCACCTCATAAGGAACATTCATGCCATGTTTGGTTTCATTGCATTCAGTGGTTCTCTAAAAGAAGACATTTGTATGTATTTCCAATAGGGTCCCATGTTAAACTAAGTCCCCTGCTGGCGGCCATCTTGAATGATGGATCAGCTTAAAAGTAACAACACTTGGTCAGCACCTCATAAGGCACATTCATGTCATGTTTGGTTTCATTCCATTTAGTGGTTCTCTAAAAGAAGGCATTGTAT